AGACAGCCGAACGATTTTCTACTCGGCTTGCACTCCTGCTCTCTGAGAGCACTCGTCAACAACTCGGTAAAAGGGAACTGTAGGACGGCTGAAATGAGGTAGATACCGAGAGTTGAAGGGGGAAGCGAGACGCATTTGCACACAGAAAAATAAAGAGGCCGAAATGCGTGAGTACGAAGAGCTTGATAAGCTGACCGATCACCACCCCTTCGTCGATTTCAAAGCTGCTTTCGACTGCACGAAAAGGAGCTGCCTTTATGCCGTGGTGTCTGAATTTGGTATCCCTGCAAAACTTATACGGCTGTGTAAGCTGACGTTGAGCAGCACCAAAAGCTCCATCAGAATCGGGAAAAACTTCTCCGAGCCGTTCGATATCAAACGAAGTTTCAGACAAGGCGCTTCCTTATTGTGCGACTTTTTCAATCTGCTTCTGGAGAAAATAGTTCGAGCAGCAGAACTAAATAGAGAAGGTACCATCTTCTATAAGAGTGTACAGGTGCTGGCGTATGCCGATGATATTGAGATCATCGGCCTCAACACCCTCGCCTTTAGTTCCGCTTTCTCCAGATTGGACAAGGAAGCAACACAAATTTGTCTGGCACTCGCGACTTGGCACTCACGTCACTGTTGACAGTCATAGCTTTGAAGTTGTAGATAATTTCGTCAACCTTGGAACCAGCGTAAACACCACCAACAATGTCAGCCTAGAAACCCAACGCAGGATAACTCTTGCCAACAGGTCTACTTTGGACTGATTAGGCAATTGAGAAGCAAAGTTCTCTCTCGACAAACAAAAACCAAACTCTATCTGCTACATGGTGCAGAGGCTTGGACGATGTCAATAACGTTCTTACTCGCTATTAATAAAGCAAGTATACAGGAAGTTATCTTCATTTATAATCAAAAACCCTAAGAAATGTTAAGAGCAAAATAAAAGTATAATCAATAAAACTATGAAATATTAAAATTATACTCAATTTGTGGTCAGTAAACTAAAGAAATATTACACTTACACTTACATAACACTGACTAGGTCAGTTATTATCATAACAGAAGGGTTAATAAACATTAAAAAAATCGATTGTTTAAAAATTCTAACTATATATAAACCCTCAAATATCCAAGTATCAATGAACAACCCCATTGCATATTAACGCTAAATTCGGAGCATACGCGGCCGAATATCTCATCAGGCTTTGTGTGTGTATTAGTGAGAAATTCTCACGCGGGTTGGCAGATGTCTGTTTGAAGAAAATGAAATTATTCGCTAAGAAAATTTTACTTATAATTATTTTATTTTATGCCTGATACCCTTCTTCTTCTTCTTCTTTACTGGCGTAGACACCGCTTACATGATTATAGCCGAATTAACAGCAGCGCGCCAGTTGTTTCTACGTTTTGCTACGTGGTGCCATTTGGATATTCCAAGCAAAGCCAGCTTCTCCAGCTGGTCCTTCCAACGGGGTCTTCCTCTTCCTCTGGCGAGTATTGTGTCGAATACTTTCAGAGCTAGGATGTTTTCATCCATACATGACCTACCAAGCGCAGCCGCAGTCTCCTAATTCRCTGAACTATGTCAATGTCGTCGTATATTTTATACAGCTCATAGTTCCATCGAATGCAATATTCGCCGTGGCCAACGCGCAAAAGACCATAAATCTTTCGCAGAACTTTTGTATCGAAAACAATGTCGACTCATCAGTTGTTGACATCGTCCAAAACTCTGCACCATATGACAGGACGGGCATTATGAGTGACTTATAGAGTTTGGGTTTTGTTTGTCGAGAGAGGACTTTGCYTCTCAATTGCCTACTCAGTCCGAAGTAGCACCTGTTGGCAAGAGTTATCCTGCGTTGGATTTACAAGCTGACATTGTTGGTTGTTATCTCCGACTTCAAAGTTTTGACTGTAAGTGCCAAGTGGCGAGTGTGACGACTGTTTTTGATGACAGAAGATATTTCGTCTTGCCCTCGTTCACTGCCAGACCCATTTGTTTTGCTTGCTTGTCCAGTCTGGAGAAAGCAGAAATCACAGGGTGGGCGTTGAGGCCGATGATATCAATATAATTTATTCTTTTGAAGCCAATTAGAGATTCCAAGCGAAACCAG